GGCCGGTGGGGGGCGCCGCGGCGGGCGCGGGGCCTTCGCGGGTAGCCGGGCTGCGGGGCGCGGGGCCCAGGGAAGCCTCGGCGACGCTGCTCAGCAGGGCCAGAGCGGCCAGGGTTGGCCACAGGGCAGGCTGCCCGGAGAGACAAAGTGGGGCCTCAGGGAAGAAGAGGGCATCCTGGTGGGCTCAAGGTGGAGGGAGCTCAGGGAGGGGCTGGGGCCGAGGAGAGGATGGGCTCCTGGTTGGGTGGGGGGAGCTCGGGAAGAGCTGAGGTTGGAGGATTACGGGTCAGCTGACTTGGGGAGCCCAGGGGAGAAATCACCGGAGGGCATTGCCCTTCCTTCACACTCCTGGTCCCTTCCTGGCCATTTCCCCTCCCACTTCTGGTGCCTGCCCAGGCCAAGGCCTGCTCTCCCTCCCCAGTCAAGGCACCTTTCCTCAAGACCAGGTGGGAGTCACTGGGAGAATCACTCACCTGCCGCCTAGGCCGCGGCCAGTGGGGCAGCTCTGAAGGGCCTCCAGGTCCAGGCTCCATCTCTGTCACTACCAAGAGCTCCCATCAGCCGCAGTTGACCTGTTCCCCCACCCTCCTCTTGAGGCAGCTTCGAACATTGGGAGATGAGTTATCCTTTGAGCAGCTCATCCCTCCACTTCAGTCTCCCCAGCTGAGGAACAAGGGGCTTGGAGAGCTAGACTCAACGCAGGAGGAGGAGAGGTCGCTGCATTGAGAAACTACGTGTTGGCGCTTTGTACCTGAGCCCTCTTTCAGTCCGCACAACTCCAGGAGGTAAAGGGTGTAATCCCCATTTTCCAGATGAGCAAACTAGGCTCAGAGAAGCTCAGCTATTGTCTAAGGTCACAAGGCACGACCCACATGGGCAGGTCGGGGAGTCTTTTCCCAGGACCTTCCTGCTCTGTGCTGCAGGTCTGAAGCTGGCAGGACTGGGTAGTTGGACATCCTTGTCCTACAGAGTCTTCTCTCCAGGCTGCAGAGGAGGAAGCTGTGGCCTGGAGAAGAATTAGGGTGCTTGCTGGTTGACCTGAGCGCTGTCTGAAGATCGTGAGGCCCAGGCCTCAGCCTGTGCTGCCCACCCAGCCTGCTGCACCTCGCTCTGTGATCTCTATCTGGACCCAGAGCTGCCTGAGTTGTCTCTTCTGATCCCAGATGTCCCTCAAGAGCCAGCAGATGGTGGGGGCTGATGGGCCCTCTAAGAATATGGGGCCTGGGCGGTGGCTTCCTGTGGCCACCAGGGGGCAGCATCTGCCAAACCTGCAGACTCAAAGGAGGGTGGGCTCTTCCCAACTCAGCCAGACTCAGGCCTGAGCAACTCCCAGGAGGGCCAGCCAGGCCTCCATACCAGCCTGGTCTCTGAGAGCTGGGCCAGGTCTGCCCCATTCCACCTTTCTGTGGATCTGGCAGCCTGGCCCTGCTCCTAGAAGTTTCCCCCCTCAACCATCCTTCCCGAGCCCAGCCAGCCTTTCTGAGCCCCACCAGCCTTCATGAACCCACACTGGCTGGCAGTCCCAACTCCTTTGGGGCCCCAGAGCCCTCATGAGCCCTCACTAACTGGCCTGCTCATGTCCCAGCCATCACCTCCACCCACAGCCTGCAGCACAAAGAATGTCTGCATACCTGTGGGCCAGACCTCCTTGGGCCTCCCTGGGGTGGTCCTTCAGGGCCAGGTGTGATCAGCTAACTGAAATCCGGCCCTGAGGGGCTGGCCTCTCACTGACAGAGGTAAAGCCTGGCAAGACAGCCTTAAGGGACCCCTGCGCTAGGGGGAGCCCAGGAGCAGGTCTCTTGAGGGCAGCTCAGGCCCTCTCTCCCTCCTGGCCGTCTGAGGCCACTTGGTCCTTCAGCCCTGCCTGCCCATCCACCAGCCCGATACTCACCACGGGAGTGCTGTGCCGTGCTCTTCTAGGCACCTGTACTGGGCCTAGTGCTGGGCTTTCCCCCGAAGCTCAAAAGGCTCATGCCCAGGGCTATGCACCTGGCAGTGCCTCTTTTAGCCAAAAGCGTAGGCTTGGCAGCCAGTCTGCACTCTGTAGCGGCAGCAAGAGCCTCACATTACAGCTGGTGGGCAGGGCGACCACAGTCCGACGAGCGACAAGAGGGACTGAAGGGGCTGGGAGGGGCGGAGAGCTGTGCATTGGGCCCAGGAGAGGGAGGATGTGAGAAAGGAGCGGAGGGGGATTATCCTGCCCGCTCCCCCTAAACCCAGGGCTGGGACAGGGGTGGGCAAACAGGTCAGCTTACCGCGAGTGCAGGGCTCTGGGCGGGGGCCGCAGGGAGGGCTGGGGCCCGAGGGACCTGCTGCTGGTGGAGCCCGCGGGCTGTGTTTGGGGGCCGGGCCCAACTCCATCCCTCAGCAGTCTCTTGCCCGCTGCCATCCGGTGTCAAATTCCAGCCCCGGCGTCACCGGATCCTGGGGTGGGGCCCGGAGCGCCCCCGCCCCGCCCCACCTTTCAGGACTCACCTGGCTGCTCCACCCTCCAGGATCCGTCTGTCCCTGCCTGGCTCTGCGAGGTCCCCTGTGGTGGAAGGAGGAGACGCTGGGAAGGGACCCGGACAGAGTGGAGAACCCGGTGGCGGAGAGGCGCAGACACTGGGCGTTCAGAGTGTGCAGACGTGCGAAGTAGGGAGTTGGGAGGCCGGGCTGAGGGCGGGAGAGGGACAGCGAGGGTGGGGAGGGAGGGGACAGGCCGGTCCCTGCCTTGGGCCACTGGCCCTCGGGTTCGCGCTGTCTCCGGGTCCCGGTGGCCGCCCTGCGACGAGTGCTCTCCGCTTTCTGGCCCACCCGGAGTTTCTTCTCAGCAGACCCACGGAACGCGCTGGGTTCGGTGAGGCAGCGCCCCGGGGCTCTCAAGGTCTGCCCCTGCTGTCGCTGCTCCACCGCGCCCACCGCGCCCCTCCCGCTGGCCCGGAGCTGGGAGTGGAGACACACCTGCAAACACCGCTCTCACCCGGCACAGCGGGGCAGCACTGGTCCGAGACGGTGCCCAGGGCTGAGGAAGGGGAGGTCACGGAGGAGGGACATTTGCGCTGAGGTTGAGGTAGGAGCTGGAGGGTGGTATTCAGATGCCTCATGAGGGCACTTTGGCAGGTGGGGTGGAGGTTGAGTGAGTAACATGGATAGAGGTAAGGAAAGGCCAGATCCTGTGTGTCATCCTGGGGAGTCTGGACTTGATCCCAGCGACTCTGGGGACCACTGAAGGGTTTCAGGCAGGAGAATGGTGTGAGCAGACACGCGTTTCAGTGACTGGCTGGCTGCAGAGGGGAGGGTGGTTTGGCATGGTATAGACGGATGCTACGTCAGGAGGCTGCTGGGGGACAGAGGAGTCTGAAGCAGAGCTGTGGGGAGAGTGTGGGGCTACCCGGCCTCTTCCAGGACCACACCTTTTTGAAAACTCAGTTGTGCCTGATTGGATGGCGTGAGGGCTAGGATAGGTAGGCATGCCTTTGGCCTGGGTGACCAGGTGGAGGGGACGCATCCTGGCAGCTGGGGCTCCCTGGAGGTGGAGCAGGCTGGGGGCAGGAGCTCGTGACTTCAGGTTGGACCTGTTGAGTTGGAAGGACCTATGGATTATCCTAGTGGAAATGGTCAGGAAGCAGCTGAATTTGTAGCCTGGAGTGAAATGGAAAGAGCTGGGCTTCAGATGGCAACTTGGGAATTGTCAACCAGCTGACGACTGGAAGCCGTGGGTGGGAATGGAAGTGCTCAGGGAATGTGTGTGGACCAGCTATACCCTGGCTGTGCATCAGAACCACCTGTGGACCTTTGACAACTACTCACATCCAGGCCCCACCCCAGACCTGAATCAGAATCTTGGGATGGGCGTGTGCAGTTTTCCAAACCTGCCCAGGTGACTCTGGAGTACGGCCAGGGCTGAGAACCACAGCTTTTGTGAGAGCAGTTTCTGTGCAGTGGTGGGGATAAGCCAACCTGCAGAGAACTGCCGGTGGTGGTGGTGGGCGCTCCACAGGCTTGATAGGAGCCCCGAGGGACAGGAGGCCAAGCAGTGAACAGCTCCGCTCTCTGCTGCCTCCCACAAGCGCTGCCCAGATGGGGTGGCTTCCCTGGGTTTGCCTGTCCCTCAGTCAGGGCCTTGCTTTCCCCTCAGCTGAGGAGGCTCCTGCCTGAGGACAAACCACAGCAGTAGGGGGCATGTGGGCAGTCGGTGGTCCTTGGGATGGCCAGGACTCTTGGACTGGGATGGCACGTGAGGGGCAAGGGGCCAGCCAGCCCCACCTACTGCCACAGTGGCAGCTCCGGCAGGAAGCTCGCTCCATGGCCTCAGGTGTAGGCATGTGTTTGAGCTACTCTCAGGCCTGCCTGGGGATGCCGGGGAAGGGAGGGGTTATATTCCAGGGTTCTAAGGGGGTAAGGTGTGGGGGGATGTCCTTTCTCATGTTCGCCAGAGGGTGCCTAGAGCTGGCTGTGCCCTCCTGTCCTGTGCTGGAAGAGGGGGCTGGGGGAGATGGTGTGCCTGTGTGCTAAGGGTGGGGTGGAGCCTGTCCTTTCCAGGGCTCAGCTGGGGGTGCCAGGAGTGGGTTAGGTCTGTGGGCCTCTCTGTGTCAGGGGCTCAGCAGTGAATCTTTCCTGTGCTTGCGGGAACCTGTGTCCCTGTAGAGTTTAGGCTGTGGTGACCCAGAAGTGAGACAGGGCCATCTGCAAGGGCCCTGGCCTTACAACATAAGGCCCCTAACCAATCGGCAAGCTAAGAGAATCAGAGGCCACCAAGATCCACATTCCGCAGCCTCCGGACTTTCCCTGGTTTACGCATGCGCCCACGCACCCAGGAGTCCGCTGAATGTGACCCTAGCCCCATTAGCATAGTAAAAATCACACCCGGGGCGGAGAGCTAGCATGCAATGATACATGCGTCCCATGTAGTAGTGTGCTACACGACAGCGCAGGCGCAAGCACAACCCCACCTCTACACCATGACAAGGCTCCTCCCCAGCCTTTGCCTAATAAAAGCCCACAGTCCCGCTCCCTAACGAGCCGGTCGCTTGCCCCTTTCCTTTCTGCGCCGGCTCCCCTCTGCCTCTCTTACCGCCAGCTAATAAACTTTTACTTTCCTATTCCCGTTTGTCGTCTCTCTTGATTTCCAGCCTGGGGGACAACAAGAACCCACACGACGGTAACAGAAGCACTGTCATAGGACAGTGGCTTCAATCCCCTGCCCTCTGGCTGCTTCAGGAGGCACCAGGGTAGACTCTGGGGCATGCTCTGATGCTCATGGTCTGCCTCTCTTAAGGCAAAGATGGTGCAGGACTGTGTGGGACAGGAGAGGCTCCAGAAGACTTCTAGGTGGCTACCCAGGGCCTGCAGTTGACGTAAGAATTGAAAGGGACCCAGCAATCTGTAGCCTGCAGAGATGGCCCTTGGGTTTAGCACAGTTGCTGAGGCTCCAAGTTCCTGTTTCTTCCAGGAAAGTCAGAGAAAGCAAGAGGAGGCCAGGTTCAGGGAAGAGCTTTATTGCTTCCATGATGGCTGCCCAGGACGACTGCCACAGTCTGGGTAAGGTCCTTGAGCCTCACTTCCCTCTGGTCCAGGCTAAAGGCGAACCCAAGGACGTGGCAGTCTCATTGCTAAAGCCCAGAACAGCTGCCCAGTCAGTCAGTCCAGGCCTGGCACACTGTCCTATGGGTCAGTTGCAGTGGTGGGGGGGTGGTAGTGCCATTTCCACCAGGCTGGGCCTCACCTGGCCTCCTGGGCTTGGAAGTTCTCTCTGCTCTAGCCTGAGGCTGTCTTGTTGGTTTAAAGGATGGCTCCAAGGTTTCCCTGTGGGACAGCTAGGGGCTGGTGAATGGGAATACCCCATCTTCTCCCCAAGAAAGGCCAAACAGTGTCATGAGCTGGAGGGGGCTGGCATGAGATCCTGCCTACTTCCCTGTAGCCCAGTGCAGGGTACAGGATAGTCCCGACTCTCCTACTCTACAGGGAGCCCACTGGTACCACTGCCTGATGGGCTCTCTACTGGGCCTCTTTTCGTACAGCAAGTGGACCAAACTGACATCTCCAACCTTATTTAAAAATAAATTATCCCTACCCTCCCGCCACCCAAATTCACAAAATGATAATACACCAAACACTGATTGGAGAAATGATTCCGGCAGCAGCCTTGCTGCCTAATGTCCACCTCCCGCATGCTGGGCCCGCTAGGCATGGCCAGTGGCCTCCTGGCCCTCTGGCTTTAAGGACCCAGGCTGAGAGTGAGGCTGAGTGCTGGTCTCTGAGGCTGGCCTCTGAGCAGACACAGCTCTGGCTGCCCCGCCAAGGCCTCGCCAGCCTTGGGGCCACTTAGCGCTGTCCTTCTCTGGGTCTGAAGACTCCTGTGCCTCTCAGGCAGAGCCAGACTGAGGCCAGTGAAGTGGGCAGGTGATGGTGACTGCTGCTTGCTCTTGGTGGTGCATGGACCTCTGTGGCCACGTGCTGGGCCCACCTCAGATGCCACTGGTTAGATCAGTGATGACACGTGCTTTCACTAGCTTCCGCAGAAACTCTTTCTCTCGCTGAATATTGTGTGTCCAGGACTGGAAGGAAAGAGATGGAGAAGCGATCAGTTGGGCAGCCCAGGTGGCTGCTGGGACATGGCCCGGCTAGAACGCGCCTTCCAGGGCTCAGTGCCCTCTTCTGACTACCACCCTCTGATGTTCTGTGACCGTAGGAAATCTGCTCTAGAAGTGCCACAGCTCATCCTCTCCCTTCCTGGGACTTGGAGAAAATAACCTTCTAACCCCTTTCCCCATCCCAGGAGAACTATGCCTCTTAACTTCTTCCTCCAAGCCTTAGGAGATGTACGCTTTCCAACCTTGTTCCCATGGACTTCAACCTCTCCTTGTCTGGCAGCACGTCCGGGGCACCTAGGTCCTAGGCACCTTGAGGACAGGCATTGTGAGTCACTTAGGCCCGGTCCAGGCCTGGGGGGTGGGCCCAGCTGGAAAGAGAACCACGTGGGTGGCTTAGTCATTCTCTGGTCTGATGCAATCCGTTCTCCAGCCCTGGGGGCAGCTGATGAAATCCTGCCTCTCAGATCAGAGGAGCCAGGGGGCCAGAGGACAAGACGCTCATCTTACTGTTAATGTGGAAATTCCAGGGAAGATGCTGCCTTCCAGGGCTTTCCTGGAGGAAGATTGCACCCAGGCTCAGGTTCTTTCCTATCCCCAGTATTCTCACTTCCAGGAAGCTTTAATCACTAAGTCTCTCAAAGAATGAAAAAGGATTGAACGAATGAATGAATGAAAGCAAACAGCCTTCTCATAGTTTGTACCCAACTGACTGCTCTGTTGCATCTGTCAGCACTGAGCCTCACAGAGCAATATTAACAGCCACTATTTACCAGTGTAAGAACTTATAGCGCTCTCTGGTCCTTACTGTGATCCAGTCAACCTTCTCCAACCTTCCAAACCTTTTCAGTCTGAAACTCAGGCAAAACTCCCTATATTCCTCTCCTCTGACCATTCCCTCCAACTTCTTGTGCTAATCACAAACCTGCTGCCCCGAAGGACAGTGTCCCCCAGACATACTCCCAGTGGGGACTCCTCCCCCACATCCACACCCACAGCGCCTCGGGGTGGGCAGGGCCCTCCTCACTCTTCACGGCTGCGTCTACACAGGTGTCCCTCTGTACCCGCTCAGACCTCCGGCTCCTTGGAGGCCACTGCCCTTATACTCTGCTGTCTGCCAACTGCTCCTCCTCACTGCAGACCCCTGGGGGATTCACCCTCATTCTTTGAAGACTCAAGCATCTGGCTCGCTGTCACTCTTTGAAGGCAGGGACTGTCTGGCCCAGAATAGGTGCTCAATCAACGTGTGGAATGAAGTGAGATTTTATAGGTAAGAAAACAGAGAAATGGAGGAATGGCATGGCCAGGATCCAAGCAAATGTAGAAACTCACGCAGCGCTTTGCTTATCCCACCCCGCATCACCCCCAGGAAGAAGTAACCAAGCAGTCGGCTCAGTTTCAAGAACACCCACTGGGAGTCACTGAGGGTTGAAAGGTCAGCAGAGGACTGGATACTTGATGATATTAAGGAATTATTGTTAATTTTTTTAGGTGTGATAATGGTATTGTGATGATAAAAAAATAGTCCTTATCTTTTAGAGAAACTAATGAAAATATTTGCGGTTAGAAAGAGATGGTATCTGAGGCTTGTTTCCAAGTAATCAGTGGGGAGGGAGCACAAGAGGAAGAGGAGATGAACAACACTGGCTGTGTGCTGACAGCAGCGGGAGGTGGAGACAGCTACGTGGAGTTCATTTTATTATTCTCTACACTTAGGAATATGTTTGACAATGTTCATTATGAAAGAGTACACAGAAAGTCTGCCGTGGGTGTAGTTCTCTTGGACCAGGCGGTCACTGCTCAGCTGCTCTCTTCCTGATTCCTCCTTCCGTGGAGCTCTCTGCACGGCGCTGTCTACACTGTCTGTGGGCTGGGGCGGGACTCGCGTAGTCCCGGGTCTCTGCCTCACCAGGAGCCCTGAGTCTGGATGCACATGTCCATCCCTTCACAGTCCACACGCTCGGAAGAGCCTTCCTCCTCACAGCAACTCTTCCGTCTTTATCTCTGGCTCCTCTTCCCTCACCCCGTCATGAAACATTGGGGCTCCTAGGGTTCCGCTGACCATCTGCGCTTCCTACTCTGTCGTCCCCCCGGGAAATCTCTTCCGTGCCTGCCCTGTATCTGAGCAAGTGGGTGTGCTGACAACTCAGTCTCCATTTCCTGCCCAGACTCCTCTGCTGCGGCCGACTCCTGTATGAACCCACTTCATCCGCCAGCTACTGCTCAGTCCCCCTGCTCCCCTTCTCATCTGAGGCTCCCCCAAAGAGCACTACCGATGCGCCACCTTTGTGCTTTATCTTGCCTTTACTTACTGTTCAGCTACTGCAATTGGGCTCCTGCACCACCACTCCTTTGAAACTGCTCTCACTGCAGTCAGTGGGGACCTCCTGACTGGTATGTCCGATGACCATTTCCCAGTACTCATCTTACTGGACTTCTCTGCAGCACCGGACAGTGTAGACACTCTCTCTTTGAAACGCTGCTCGTCTGGTCTCCGTGACCCTGCATCTTCCTAATTCTCCTCTACTTTCTGTCTCCTTTATGAATTCCTTTGACATCCCTTACATATCCCCCAGCACTCCATCCTTGCTCCACGTGTCTTCACATTCCACACGCTCCCACTGGGCCTGGAGAATGGGCTCATCAGTCGAGTGGAAGTGAAGCAATGGTGAGGCCAGGGCACTGAATGGTTCACTTGACTACTGAAGACACCCCAGGTGACAGCAGGGATCCCAAACCCAGACACCAGCATCTTCAGTGAATCCTCATCCAGGAGGATGGGAGGCAACAGTGATAAGCAGAGGTAAACACATTAACATGAATAATAATGGCTAACATTTATGAGTGCTTACTAGGTGCCAGGCCTTTTTCACACATTATCACATCTAATCTTTCCCAAACCTAGGAGGTAGGTGCTCTCCTTACCCCTTTTATTGATAAAGACAGGAAGGCACAGAGCTGGGCTCTGAGCCCAGCCTTTGATTTCAGAGCCTGCGCTCCTCAGCACACTGTGTGGAAGTGGTGCAGCAGAGGCCGCGAGCCTCGGAGCCAGACGGCTCTGCAGGATCGGGAGGCGACGGCCTGAAAACTGAGACATGGCAGGTGGAAGACAGGGAACAGCCTCGACCAGAGGGCTTCAGAGAAGGTGGTGGCCTTCTGCCTCACTCCTGCATTGAGGCAGTCTCTAGGCCCTGCTGATTTAAAATCCTGTTGCTTACCTCTCTCTCCTCGTCGTCACTGAGCAGCTCAGTTCAGGAGTCTTCAGCTCGTGCCTAGCCTGCTGTGAAAGCCGCCCAGCTAGTTTCTACTGCTGCCTTGCACTCTTCTACTTCATGCTGCGGCTGCAGTGACCCTCCTCCATGCTAATCCACAGCCTAAAATTCTTCCATGCCTCCCTCCTATGTCTATGGCCTTTCACCTTCTGCCTCAAACTTTTACATAAGGTTTACATAAAAGGACTAGGTAAGAGACCAAGGATCTAAGTAAACAGAAGCCAGGAGGCAGGTAAAGGCTGTGAGAGCAGTTTGGAGTGGGTGTGTGAAGAGAGGTGGAAATCAAAGACCCACAGAGTCAGGGTAATAATGAGGCAGGGCCAGAGCCTCTGCTGAAGGGGATAAGACAGTCCTGGAGCCGTCCTGGATCCAGGATGAGCTTCCCACTCCTGAACCCCATTCCAGGCAACAGGAGGCCCAGCCATAAGGCTGTTTCTGGTTTCCCGTGAGATTCCCAAGTCTCTCTTATAGCCGTGAAATAACGCCCCATTACTTGAGGTAGCCTGAATGAACCAGAAAAGCCTGAAACAAGAGAGATGGTAACTGAAGCCATGGATGGGGATGTAAATCTCCTGGAGAACATGTGAGTGAGAAGAGAAGATTGTCTAGGACGGAGCCCTCACTAATGCTGATTCTTAAGGGGTGGACTGAAATCAATGACACCAAGAAAGAGAACGAGAGAGACTGGCAAGTGAGATGAGAGGAACACTAGAAATTACTGACTCAGAAGTTTGAGCAGGAGAGAGTTTCAAAGAGGAAGGAGTGGTCAACATAAAAAGTGATTCTGAGAGATCAGGAAAGATGAGACTTCTATGTGTCCACTGGACATAGTAGCCTTGAGATAAGTCATTGGTGACCTTGGTGGGAGTCATGTCAGGTAAAGGGGGAAGCCAGGCTGCAAGGGGCAAAAGGCCAGGCAGCAGTGAGGAGTGCACAGGGGACAGAGTCCTGACTGTGGCTTCAGATTCCTCACTGGAGGAGGAAGGGTGGGTGGGAACTTTCAGGGAGCATAAGGTTCTGGAACAGTGTGGTGGAGGTTGGAGAAGGGCAAGTAAAAAGATTGCTGAGCAGGGATGAGGGCTAGCTGAGATCAGAACTCCTACATTTATAGAACCACGAGTCTGCACAGATGGGACATTTCCTCCAACAACCCCCACCACCCAGATGGAGGAGGAGAGAAGCTGCCCAGAGTGCTAGCCCAAGACGTCCAGGTTACAGGCTGGGCTCAGTGGAAGGCTAGTGGTGGAAGTGAAGGGTGTTGTAAGAGGGGTTCAGATTTTCCACATGGGCTCTTGCTGTGAAGGGAGAGATGCCAGGAGAGGCTGACTGACAGGCTGGGAGAACTTCAATGCTTCTTGAACTTTAAGGTACCTGAACATACGGTTCACCTGGGAAGCAATTCTGGGTGATAAAGAGCTTTAGGGCTTGGCCATGGGGAAAGGGAGGAGGTACAGGGGGCATCCTGGGACTGAGAGGCAATATCTGTGGGTTGTTTGAGGGGGCAAAGAAGTCCTCTACAGGAAGGGAGGCACTGTGGTCAGGAGAATGGCTCTGAGCTGGTGCCAAGATGAGCATATGAGAGCTGGGGAACAAGTGTGGAGAGGGCCAGGGAGGGCAAGTTCAGGGAGGAGGCTGGGGGAGGGGGCTCTGGGTTCACAGGGAGACTGGGGAGAGGGGCACAGAGGATGCTTGGTGGTTAGAGGCCCGGCAGGGATGGACCTCTGGTGACCCAATTTAGCTGAGGGTGGGGCAGGGCCTTCCTGGGAGCTCTGGGCAGCTGGACCAGCCGCTGGCTCATCCCTTTATCATTGGTTTGTGCACCCACTGTCAGAGCCTGTCCTCTGTGCTGGAAGTGCCCCGCCTCAGCCCCACCCAGACTGCCCCACATCCAGCTCCACACCTCTTTGATGGCTGCCATGCGCACAGTCTCGTAGTAGTGCAGGGGTGCGTTGGGCGTGCTCATGTCGTAGCCAAAGCCTGCAACTGCCACCTCGTCACAGCCATGTAGTGCCATGGTCACTGCCACACTGCCAAGGGTTGGGATGTTCTGGAGGAGGGAAGAGAGAAGGTGCAGAGTTCAGCTAGAGGGCTGAGTGAGGCCAAGACCCTGAGCTAAGCTCCCCAGAGCTAAGCTCCATTCCTGAGGACTGAGCCCTCTGTCCCCGCCCTGCCACCCAGTCCTTCCTTCCCAAGGCACGTCTGGCCCAGTTCTCCCCCTCCCTCTCCTAGGGCCCAGCTATCTCACCCCACGGCCCATGAGGCCATTGTTGAAGGGCAGTCCGATGAGGGTGAAGGCGGCCTCCTGGATGAAATATGGGTTGAGAATGCGAATCTCAGGGGGCTCCTTGGGCACTCGAGTGGCCACAGATTTCCAGAAGCCGTCCGACGCACTCTGCAGACACAGCATAAGTAGGCATGAGCTGGGCACACAGCTTGCCATGGGACTGGTGAGTGGCAGGGACCCAAAGTGTGTACAGGCAAATGAGAAACAAGGTGGGGGCATGAGGTGTATCCTGGGGAGCCTGGGGCATGTGGAATAAACACAGCTGGTAGAGGGAGGGCTTGGTGTGTGGTGGGGACACGGGATGTGTGACAGCGACGAGGGTATGTGATGGAGAACAGCGAGCATGTGCTGGGGTCACAGTGTATAATGGATACAAAACAAGCTGCGGGGCGGGGCACAGGGTGTGGGACGCTGGGGTGTGCTGCCCTGGCCTGAGGGGGTTCTCGGGCCATTAGGCAGACCCACGGGCCTAGCTGTCGCCCCTCCCCTTCACAGCTACTCAGGGGCCCTGGAGAAGCCCGCCCTCTCCTATCTGCTCTGCTGGGCTTGCCTCCTTTCCCTTCTGTCTCCTTGCTCTCAGTCAACTGTTCTAATGTGAACCTGAAAAATAAAGACAGAATGTGAGCTAGGACGGCACAGCAGAACAACACTCACATCCCAGTTCTGCCGCTGACTATAGCTGGATGACTGGGCAAGTGACAAGCTCTCTGAGCTACAGCTTCTTCAACTGCAAAACAGGATCATTCTTCCCTCAGAGACCTCAGAACTGGACTGGAAAGGCATGAGCTCTGAAACATGACATCCTGGCGTCCATTCCAGGGCCACAACTTTCTCTTCTTCCGACCCTCTCCCTCCCTCTAGTCCCCAGACCTGCCTCTGCTCAGTCCATGAGCCCCTCCTGGTCTAGTCCCTGAAGTATGTCACTTCAGCTACTCTCTCGTGAGCTCCCTCAGTCCCCTGCCCCTTGCCCTTCTACTGCCCTAGCCCAGGGAAACCGTGAACTTGGGATCAACCCATTCATCCACCTTGTCCACCCTTATGACCAGGCTCCTGAGTACTGCTGGAGAAAGTCACAAACCAACCCTGCAACCTGGAGGCATTACCAAACCATGGACTCCAACCTATTATTTCCAGGGAGTTTGTTATTAGCCTAGAAAACCTAAAAGAATCAACGAAACTTAGAATGGATAAAATAATTTAGTAATGGGATCTGTACTTCAATAGGAAATAGTCACCAGATAGAATAAAAAAGAGATCCCATTTGCAATCCTACAAAAAATATCAAATGCTAAACAATAAACTTAAATATGTGGAACCTACAGTAAAAAAACCCTACAGTCCTTTATTGAGAGGTATAAAAATATGACTTGAGGGGCCGGCTCCGTGGCTTAGCGGTTAAGTGTGCGCGCTCTGATGCTGGCGGCCCGGGTTCAGATCCCGGGCACGCCCCAAGGCACCACTTCTCCGTCCAATGCGAGGCCGAGTCCCACGTACAGCAACTAGAAGGATGTGAACCTATGACATACAACTATCTACTGGGGCTTTGGGAGGAAAAAAATGAATAAATAAAATCTTTAAAAAAAAAAAAATATGACTTGAAAAAAATGGGAGAGACAAACCATATCCTTGGATGGGAAGGCTGAATATTAACACAATGCCAATTCCTCCCAGATTAGTGTAGGCTTAATATAATTCTAAGAAAAAAATCCCAGTAGGACTTTTTAAAAAAAATTTACCAAAAAGATTCCAAAAACTCATCCAAAAGATTTAACAGGTAAAAACAGCCCCCAAATTTAACTAGATATTAGAGTATACTATGAATTTTCAATGATCACAACAGTGACAGCCAGATAAGAATCAACACAAAGATAAATGAAACGAGAGCCCAGAAGCAGATCCATATAGTCATGCATCACTTAACCATGGGGACACGTTCTGAAAAATGTGTCATTAGGCAATTTCGTCATTGTGCGAACATCATAGAGTGTACTTACACAAACCTGTGGAACAGCCTACCACACATCTAGGCTGTATTATGCTAATGTTGTGGGACCACGTCGTATATGTGGTCCATTCTTGACTGAAATGTTACGGGGTGCATGACTGTACATATATATATAAGCTTAGGTTATGATAAAGGAAGCTTCACCATCAGTGGGAAAAATGGTTTTCTCAGCAAGCGATATATAAAATTTGCTATTTAGAAAAAATATCCGTTTACTTCCTTTCCTCATACCATAAACAAAATAAGTAAATGCTAAAAAAGCAAAACTAAAAGAAAATTTAGATGTATATTTTATCATTAAACTTCCTAACTATTAATGAAATGTTAGAAACAAAAAGATAAACAGATTTTGACTTTGTAAACAATTTTAAGTGTTTTGGTACATCAAAAATATAATAAGCAAAATTAAGACTGAAAAAAAAAAGTGGGAAAAATTTTGTCACAAATAATACATCTTTTAAAAACTCATGAAAAATCAACGACACCCCTGAAATGGGAAAAGAAGAAAAAATAAGGTTAATAAGCATGAAAAAACTTTATAGCGACAAAGAAATGCAAATTAAAATAACAAGATACTATTTTTAATCCTCTACAATATGTATGTGTGTCTGTGCATCTATGCATAGATCTTAGTGCTTGTGGTGTATGCTGAGGTAGAAGTCTCCTACACTGCCATAGGAGTCCAGTGTGGTACAGCCTTTCTAAAAAGTAACGTGACAACATGTGTCAAAAACCTCACCACTGTTTATACCTCATGACTGCAACATTTCTCTTCCAAAAGTAATCAGAATGGTGAAGAACTTTGTAAAAAGCTGTTTATTACAGTGTTATTTATAAAAGTGAAAAATGAGAAAAAAAAATCCAAAGGCTTACAAAAGAGGTTTGGTTAAATGATATATCTACATACTGAATGTCACAGACATCAAAATTATGTTTTCTAAGAATTTTGTCACAGGGATATACCACAATCTACATAACCAATCCTCTGTGGTTGGACATGGAAACTGTGTCCAGTTTCCCCAGACCTGCTCCTCTGCCTGTGTTCCCTATCCTCTACTGTCCATCTAGTCTTCCAAACCAGAAACCTGGCAATTGACTTTACATTCTTCTTCACCTCTCCAGTCCATCCTGTCCTACTGGCCAGCTGGTTCTTTTGATTCTATCTTCTCAGAATCCCACAGATCCATCCCTTCGTCCCAAACCCACTGCACCACCTGATGTTCAGGTCTCATCGTCTTTCAATCGGATTATCATGATGACTGGCCCTTCACAGGGCCTGTCTTGTCGACTGCTAAATACCCTAGAGGCCAGTAGAGTGACTGGAACATAAATGGTAGATAATAATTGTTGAATTCCATTCATTTACTCAACAAACATGTAACGAGTGCCTAGAATGGGCCACTGCTGCCTCCAAAACCACTTTCCATTCTCTGCCACAATGATCTTTCTATATAGAAGCCAGATCACACCACCACTGCCCACAGGAGATCTGAGCTTTTTAGCCACTAAGGCCTGCCTGCCGCTCCAGTTTCCATTTCAGCCCATCTGAAGTCCCCACCTGCTAATTCATGGCTCCATTCTTTTGCTGATGCTCTCCTTCTAACCGCCTTCCCATCTCTATCCACCTGATCCATCCCTACTCATTTTTTAAGACTCAGCATCCCCTCCTCCCTCATGTCTTTCCTGACCCCCTTCATCCCAAAGTAACATTTGGGAGGTGATATAGAATTAAGATCTGCTATGGTTTGAATGTTTGTGTTCCCCCCAAATTCATATGTTGAACACCTAATGCCCAAGGTGATGGTATTAGGAGGTGGGGGCCTTTGGGAGGTGATTAGGTCATGAGGGTGGAGCCCTCAGGATGGGATTTATGCCCTTCTGAAAGAGGCCCAAGAGAGATCCCTTGCCCCTTCTACCAAGTGAGGACATAACGAAAAGAAGGCCGTCTATGAACCAGGAAGCCCTCACCAAACACCAAATCTGCCAGCGCCATGATCCTGGACTTCTCAGCTTCCAGAACTGTAAGAAATAAATTTCTGTTGTTTATACGCCACCCAGTTTGTGGTATTTTGCTATAGCAATACAAGCTGACTAAGACAGAAGATCCTTGGGCCTGGATCCAACTTCAGTTCTGGTCACTCAACTGTGTGGAGACCTTGGGCAAGGAACTTACCGTTTCCTAATGAATAAACTAGGGATACTAACAGTATTTATCTTACGGGCTGTTGTGAGAATTAAATGAGATAATTCAGGCTGAGTGCCTAGCTCACAGTCACCGGTCAGCTGTTACCATCATCAACATTGGCGGTGTGTTATGACCCTCCGCCCCACAGGCTAGGGGCTCACAACAGACTCACTTCTGTGCCCAGCTCAGCACCTGACAGTGTATGTTAAAGGAGACATGAAATCCACCCACGGCTCCTCCAGTGCCCTCAGCAGCAGCAAAGAGCTCCCCACCGTCAGTACCTCTTCAGGCTCGTCTTCTGCTGCCTTCAATGGACTGTCTCTGCTCCAGCCACTCCCTCCTCATGTCTCCCCACCTCTGTGGCAACATCTCTTTCTCTGGCAAATTCTATCTGTCCTCCAAGGGTCAGCTCAAAGGATAGGCTCCTGGGGCAAACAAGTCTCAGCCCCAGGGAGACCGAGAGAGCAGACCCCATACCACCTTCCTCTTGTGTCTCCCTCTCTGTGTCCAGAAGAAGTATGTGTGTAAGGGAGGTAAAGGGAGAGATAACAGGACCCAGGAGGAACAGGAAGGGTGGAGAAATGGCCAAGATCTTAGGCAGAACTAGAGAGGGGCCCCTCCCGGGAGGGCCAGATGTGGACTGAAAGGAATGGCAGGTGCCAGCCTGTGCCAAACAAAACACAGCCCCTGTCCCTTCTCCAGAGGCTGGCAGGCCCCAACAGTTCTCCACCCAGGGTTCCTGCTCATGCCTGCCCCACACACACCTAAAGAGGAGAAAGCGGAGGGGCTACCTGGGAGGGGTGAGGAGAGCCAGGAACGGGCACAGCTAGGGGTGTGCGCGGGCTCCAGGCTGGTTTTCACAGACATGACTTTATTTACATCTCTTCAACTTTCACCCACTTCACAGGTATGGGACCC